CTACCAAGACACACAGCACGCTCATTTATTTCCCTTGAGCTAGGGGGTAGAGATCATGATATCTATTACTTCATTAACTTGTAATCAAACCAACACAATCTCAAGATTAACAGAATGCAAACTTATAATCTACAGTGTTGTCAGCTGGGAGATTTGCCAACTTGACCAGAACAATATGAAACAGAAAGAATGAAACAGAACAACAATGAGAGAATAAAAAATTAACAGTTATGGCATCATTAATACCAAGAACATCATGGTTAATAGGAAATTAAATGTGCTCATGTATATACAGATATAACAGAATCCACTAACACCTGTTGAAAGGATAACAGTTATGCCCCAAATTAAGCCATCATACTATCATTCCACAAACCAAGTCTAAGCTTTTAGCTCAAAGAAATGTCCAGTACCCTTTAATTTAAACACAATCAAAAGCAGCAGAAACGACTCTTTCTTTTCAAGTCTGCGTCTCAGCAGAGGAAGCTTCTGCAGGACCTAAATAGATAGTCTATTTTCTATTATCAGTATGCAATTTTCTTTCTGGACCATTTCACTTTTGGGTGATGAAAATCAATTAAAAATTCAAATTAAAATTGTGAAAGAAATAAAAAGAGGTCCGTCAGACAACCATGTGACCATCCCAGGATCGTGAAGCTGTTATCACGCTCTGATCACATAATTTTGGTTCTCTTCCAAGACACTTTCGATCCTGTCTCCTTGGTTCAGAGGCACAATTCTATAGAATAGATCCTGTTCAAGAAAGGCAGTACGTGGGGCGTGCAGTTGCGGGCTATATATATTGCTTCATTGACCCATAACTTGCTGATGTGGGATATTACCCCTTCTAGTGGGGCAAAGAGCGCACTCATTTCCCTTGTGCTAGTGGGTTACCATAATCTCTATTACTTCATTGTTCATATTCATTAACTTGTAATCAAAACTAACAAAATCTCAAGATTAACAAAATCCAAACTTATGGGCAAAAAAAAAAAAAAAAAATTGCGAACTCATAATCCTTGCTGTTGCTAGCTGGGAAATAGCCCACTTGACCAAAAACAATATTAAAGAAAAAGAATGAAACATGAACAAGAATGAGAGAATAAACAATTATTATATGGTCTTGGCATCATTAATACCAAGAATATTACAATACAAACACAGCACACTCTTGATAGGAAATAAACGTGCTCATGTACACAGAGATATAGCGGAATCTAGTAACACTTGAATGCAATAACTGTGGTAATAGTGTTCAGTTGTTCACTATTGAGATTATTATTGGTGACGAACACTAAGCTCTAAATACTGTTCTGTGTTTTATTCGGAGGTACAGAAATGGTGGCCTAGTGTTTGGTTTTAGGCCTCTTCACAATCATCACAGTGCAATGAGCATGATGAGCGCAGTAGTCACTAACACTGCCAAGAACAGCCCTGAAAGAGAGTTTTGCATTAAAAGCTGAACGAACTAATAAATTTTAAGACTGTTTTGCACCTTAAGAAGGCAGAATTGAGAATCTAAGGGAGCTCTTTAACTTATATAATCTGTAATATATATTTATAAGTGCGTTTTCAATGGATTTTTGTCTATCAACATAGAGATTAGGCAGGTGTTTACCTTTTTATAGCTCCATAACCATGATTGCCCACCACCAGTATTGAGGCATGATGTTTTTCTACAGCCTCACATAAGACATTCCTAGCATCACCTTCATGCACTTCAAGTGTAACATCACTCACCTGCGAACATGTGCAACTTTTAAGAATCAGGAAGGTAGCAATCCAATTGGAGTTGCCTTGTTGAAAGTATATTAATTTTGCTCCAAATTAAGCATCATAATATCATCCCACATAACAAGCTTTTAGCTCAGAAAAACATCCAGTACCCTTTAATTTACACCCAAACAGGGGTATCAGAAAACTAGTCTTTCTTTCCTAGTTCCACGTGTCAGTAAAAGTAACTTTCTGCTGGACCTAAATAGATAGCCTAATCTCAAACTTCATTCAGGTCTGTTTCTACTTTCTGCTTCAATTTTAAGCGAATTTCAAAGAAATTGAGGCATAATTTCATTAAGATGTTAACATCAACATTCAAAAGCTATCAATTTCAATCTCAGATAAGAAACTCATATCAGCACATAGGATTACCGATTTACTCAAGCAAAGTTCCTTCGCCTTCTCAAGAACTCTAGTAGCTATCCTCTTCAAATCCGATTCAACCATCGGCAAAATCTCCGCAGCTCCTACGATCAAAACCAAACAAAATTAAGCAAAAAGAAGAAAAAATTAGAAAGAATCAGCAAGTAAAAGTACTGAAAACCACATGTGTAGCTACCAGGTCCGGCGAGGCCGACGGAAGAAGTACATGAAGGTTTGGCGTGAACGATGACGAGCTTGAACAAGCAACTGTCACCTAGAGGAACGAAGAAGTGATCAAGCGTCCACTCCAGCGCGTAGGTACTGTGCTCGCTTTCGTCGACGGCGACGATCATCACTTGCTTCTCCGCCGTTGCCATGGCAGGTCTCTCTGGTTCGTTGTTGTTCCGACTCGGAATTATTGTTCTGACTTCTGTTTGAGGGAAAAGAATGGACAGGGAAGAGAGTAGAAGGAATAGATGGACTTAAGAGGGAAACACGGCTCCATGATAATTCATTTATTCTATTCTCCATGATTATTATTCATTTATTTATTATGTTCTATTTGAGATAAAAAATGACTTAATTCAAAAAATCATCTACTAACTTTCAATTTAATTTCAATTTCATCTGTTATCTTTAAATTATTTTAATTCTGTCTATTATCTTTCACATTTATTTCAATTTCATCTAAAAAGTTAAAGTTAACAGAAATACTAATGAAAATCTTCTTAAACCTTAGTACTCTAACTATATTTCTTTTAATCTTTTAATCCTTAAATTTATATTCACAGTAAAAATAGTTTTTATTCTTATTTTACTAAATATGTTTTTCAAAAAATTATTTTACAGAGCAGACTGCTTTCAGTCCACCCTATAAAATTATTTAAATACGCTTAATTTTATTTTTATATTATTTTTGTGTGAATATTTAAAGAATTTTATAAGACAGATTATACGGTCTGTCTTATAAAACAGACTTACTCTTAAAATTTCTTTTTCTGAACTTACTGAATTTCTCTGTCTGAATTACAATCTATCTCTATAAATTATTTTTTGATTCATCATATTTTATTAGGATTTAAGTGTCACTTTTTTAAAACTCAAAAAACTGCTCTTTCTTCAAATCTAACAGAAATCTAACGGCAATCTAACGTGCTCTTTGTACAGTAGACTAATTTAAAATATTTTTCAAAGTTTCTAGATCATTTAGAAATGAAACAAACTTTATAGACTAAACTGAATTAAACTAAAAGTTAGTAGATGATTTTTTGAATTAAGCCGATAAAAAAATGCACCTCTCCTTTTCGGTTTAGTGACATCTGTCACTTTTGATAGGTAATCCCCTCAATTATTTGGGTTGGATTGGATTTTTTTCGCCCTTAATTTGTAATTTGTTTAAAAAAATTAAAATAAAAAATAAAAAATTATATCATTATTTTTTTAACAGTATATAATTGTTGGTGGGTTCGAAACGCGAGCGCTTTAAAAATTTGAGGAAGAATCACTTATCTTAGAAAGTTTAATTCTAATAACATCATAATTTTTTTTAATAAATTTATAATGAGTCAGATTTAAATGAATGCTTAAAAAAAGAGAAATACACTTAATGGATGACTTGATGCTGCTGACCGAAGACCTAAGTGGTAATAACATAATAATATAAATCTTTATTATTATGAAAATATTAATAATCTGTTAAAAAAATTTGAGATAAAAAAATAAAAAATTCTACCATAACAGCATCATAATTTAAATTTTTATTATTACTAAAATATTAAGTGCATCATTTTTGCTTTCATTTATTCTATCGTATGCCCTCTGGAGGAAAATGGAAACAAATAGAATAATTTTAATCGGTTGTGCCT